GTGACTTCCTGTTTGTTCAGCGTTTTGCTTGGGACTCTTAAAATACATGTTTCCATTGTTTCGTATAATAACGAGAAACAATTGATAGATATTCAAATAGAGGTGAGCGATGGAATTTTTACCATAGGTGGTGCGGTCTGGCATGATGATCACGGAGCAGGCCCATCTGCATGCGCGTGTGTCGTCGCGCGTCCGGTTACTCATCTAACAGACGTTCGTTATATGATTCCTTTATCATGCCTACGCTGTTGTGCCTAAACCTAACGATTGGTGTCCATATCATGAGTTTAATTGCGTTTTTTATAATGTACTAACACTACCATAACTGGATTTTTATTTACTTTTAAAATAACGAAATAATATTATTTTCAAACAAAAAGTCGTTATAGATTAAATAAATTTGACAAGCATGATTTCCAAGTATTTTTATATATCAAAGCACGAAAAATAATTAAAATTTCTGCTTAATTTTAATTATTTCCTGCTTTTGTAATTCAACAAATGTCTCTTCTAATTATTCTATCTGGTCTTTTGTCTTTGCGGGAGTCATATTGCTCAAAAGTGTCATCTCATAGCTATTTATATAATAGTTTGTTTAACTGGGTTATTACAAACTGTAATTACGTCCATATGTTAAACGGTAGATGCATAATAGTCTTAAACAGAGGCAAATTAATGGATTAAAAACTTTTATTATTTTAAGTTTGAAAGGAAGCTTAATTTCTTCCGGGAGGTCTTTATATCAATTTGCCTTACTACATTGGTGTATCTGAAGAATATTATTCATCTGTATATTGGTAGAGGTACATTTAAAACATTGCATATAGCCTTATTGCTTATAGTATATCATATAGGCCAGATACAAGTAAAATTATTTAAACAGATTTACTTGAGACAAAGGAGAAGAGCGAGAAAGATTGAAAAGTTAATGATTATATTGCCATTATCGGGAAGTTAGCTACATTGAGAGGGGGCCACATCGTCTTCGTGGGTAATTTTCGCGCAATCATTCAATAAACGTGATGGAAGCAATCGACAAGACCCTCTGCTTGCTCTTCAGAGAAATGGACCAATTTTGATAACCGGCCATTAAAATTATACTATGTTTTACTTTATATGTTATTTATATATTTTGTTTGTATCAAACAAAGCATCTAATTACTTAATTACAAATTTTCTATTCGATATAGCGACAGAGACCAAGTGTTGTAAGTCGTTAAAAGTTCATTTAAATATAGAACGCATTTGATTAGAGCCAATTAACGTTCAATTAAGCTACCAGTGGTCTCTCGTTTGATTCTGTCGCTGGATCAATTGTCGCGAGACAGTCTTCATAATGGCTCGAGTTCATGCTCCTCATATTATGTTACAGGAAATAATGAATAAAAGACGTTCAAGCTGTAATAATCTCTTTTCAAGTGAAATTAGTTAAAAAGGTTTCAACTTGTCACTGGCTATTTAAACGCTGTAAAACAAAGTATAAAATTCAAAATTCATAACGTATGACGTTGCAGTGTTGACAGTTCCGTACAGTTTGGTTGTTTAAACTCGCTTCATAATATAGACTAGCAGCATCTTTTGCGCTTTATTCTAATACAGTACCCAACTGTTAAACTCTTTGTCGATGCTGTCTTATTTGAATTTTTAAAATCGATTTAAATTATTACCGTTTTAAATTGCTGAAATCCAGAAACCTCAATTCATATTCTTTGTTGTGTGAAGCCGTTGCCCTCTTAGGTTATCGAAGAAATATTTTTAGCAGAACTACGCACCTACGTGTACACACAGCACTGACAACATCGCGGAGGTGTAAATTTTGCTGATTGCCAGAGCAAATATACATATGTACGTGCTGTCATGGGAGTATTACAAAGTTTATTAACCTCTTTTAATAAAATTGATTTTTGTGACCTTGATAAAGAAAGTATTGGTTGTTAAAAAAATATTTCAAATTTTTTTTAACGATTATTTCATGTCGAATTTTTAGTAAACTCTGAGTTCTAAAGTTTATTTATGGGAGTGCAAATAATATGTTTGTAGATATTCTTGTACTAGTTTCAAAGAAGTAATTCTATGCATCTACGATTTGTCGTGCTTAGCTTCAACGCGCGTCGCGTGGTCCGGCGCATTTTAATAATTTCATGTGTACTAATTGAAAGCTTTTATTGCACCAAACAGGTTGGACAACCCATCATTGTGATTAGACAAAATTAAGTAACAGTGTAAAATTGAGTTATTTAGTACTAAAGTTATTTATTAAATTATTTTACGTTAAAAATTTTAATAAGGTATAATGAATGTCAAAATTTTGTTTGACAAGTTTTGCAAGACAAGAAAAGTTTCAAATTTGACTTTTTATACCTAAAATGATTTTTTAAATTGTTCTTTCTATATGAATGAATGAAATGTAACTTTATTCAAATAGACTTATTGTAAGCACTTTTGAATCGTCATTTTAATTTAAATCTTCGTATAATATAATCAAGAGTCGTCACTCAACCGAGCTGCGTGCTTTCCGTGTTGACATACTCAAGACGCCGCAAACCAAACATACTAAAGTCTAAACAAAGGACCTCGAGCTTATACCCGATTCCTCAAAGATTTCGTATATAATATCTCACCAGAATAGGTTGATTTACTTACAAAAACCGTATGTACATTATTCGTACATCCTTGTGCTTGTAAATTGTGAACGTGCCGTCTGGCTAATGGATACATGTTATTATAATAAACTGCGGTAATTACGGCGTGGCCGCTCACGTCTGATTGCCCTTAGTTTCGAACGCAACGACCGCGGCCGCTCGAAATCGACAGTGATTACAAATTTCCCTGGAGTTCGGTTGCAGCGCAATGTCCGATGGAAAGCGCTTAACCAATGTTCCGCTCTAATAACATTCTAATTATAATTTTGCTGCCATTTTCCATCACAGATTTTAACCCTTTGCTCTTTCCACTACTAAGTACCTACTATGTTTCATTTCGTACTAAACTGTCTAATTGCCAAATTATTTAATCATTATTATTATATTTCTATACCATATTGTAGTAATTACTAATTACTTATTTTTTATATCATGCATGATTATATTTTCTTACATTTATTCATTTAACTTCTATAAAAATAGATTTATTATAAGTAATTTTCGACCATATATTAAGTATTTTTAATCCGTTTCAAGAAAAAATTAATTTGTATTTTATTGGTAGTCCACTTTATTATTTATAATTTATAGTGGTATATAAGAAAATATAAAAACCTGAACCCTTAATATTTTATGTGGAAGATTTTTTTGAACGCCCTGTTCAATTTTTGTATAATAATATGTGTAAAATACCTAAGATTTGCTATCACCTTTTGTATTAAACGTAAAATTTGACGCCGTATTCTAAAAATACAAGTGTTCGCGTGTTTACGATCTTCGCTCGCAGCATAGGCGTATAGAATATACAATGATATGTCATTCACATCGATTGAGGCCGCCGCATACAAGATGTGATCTATCATACATAATGTATAGTGACCATGTTCCGCGTCGAGCTGTATGCCGGCCTTTGCGTCGCACTAGACGTAGAAACTGCTACGGGACATATTATTATAAGTAGGGATGTATCGATACGCACTTCTGCCGATCCGATACCTATAACGATGCGGACTCTGCTTTAAAAGGTATAAAAAGTAAAAAAAAACTGTGGAGTTTAGGATGAAAAACACAGAAACAGACGGCATTGCTTATATAAGTAATATTTATTTAGAATAAAAATAGCGAAACTTGGAAATTGTAACTTTAAACAAAATATCAATTTAAAAATAAAGAATACAAATTAATATTTAAAATTCATTTTTATGAGATTTTTATTCAGAAAATACAACATCCTTAAATTATAAAAAATGTATGGTATATCGGCAAATTAATATCGCCGTTGCCGTTATATCAGAAAACCGACGATAACGCCGATATATCGGTATCGGTTCCATCCCTAATTATAAGCTAAAAAATTTATTATATCAGACTGATGTATAATTTTTAAAATCAGTATCTTAGTTACAGGCATACATATATTTACACTTAATACTTATCCCTATAACTCCAAATTTAAATTTCTAATCGGCTTTAGTATTTAGCTCATGTAGTTAGGTACTCATGCGGTCCCAGGACAGGTTGTCTGGTAACTAATAGATCATGGATCACTGAAGTGTACTGTTACTTAGCACGGCACACGACCGTTGCCCCTCAACCGAGAGCTGGCGCGGCGACAATTATTTCTCATTGCGACGACGCCACGAGGCGTCGCCTTGTGAACAATAGTGTACAATCACTGCGATTGTGCCGGCCGAGCGCTCGTGTCAACTACCTATTGCATGAACACCACTATTGTTGTAGTAATGTCTCGAAGCCAACTTTGACTAATATAATATCTAAAATATTTGCATTTTTAAACTACCAAAGAACTGTACACATGTCTATGTCGTGTACACATATTCACTATATTAAATAATTCACTATGGGAGACGAACGCAGTGTCTGGTTAAAGTCATTAAAATTCGATTCACCTCGAGGCTCTAACAGTGCCAGTTAAGGTTTAGTTAATTGGAAATATTAACCATATAACGTCGAGGCTATTACATTGGAAATATTACACATTTAACCTAAGGGTTCCTTGTGCAGGTAGACGAAGGCAAATCAATGTGCAGGGTGCTTTTTTTGTTAGACTAGCAGGTATCGACCGCTTAGTTCAAATTATTTTTTATTTTTTTTGGAGAATATCGTAAAATAAATAGATATTTTGTAACTTAGTTATAGATATAGAATAGATAGTTAGATAGTTATAGAATAGATAGTTCAGTTTTTAATTAATGGTTATAGAATTTTTGTTATTGTTATAAATATAATTGAACATTACAAATAATGCTTTGTTTTTAAAGTATAGGTATGGTTTGAAAATCTATAAAATAATGGAAAATATATTTAGCTATAATCGAAATTTTCTGTCTATTACAGAATCAAACTCGCCCAGTGCAGACTATGAACGCTACCTTGAGTAGTGCCCTTGGTCCAGTCGGCACGAATAACGTCTCTTCTACCGTCGGCTGGGATCAGCATCCAGTTCTCGCACGAGCGGCATCCGTACCTGCACAACGCGCCGCTTTAGCCGGTCTCCTAAACAGCCTGGGTCACCGCCGCCTTGAACGCACCACTAGCGACCCCGCACCCCCGCCACCTGCGACAAGTCGATACAAAACTGAACTCTGCCGACCATTCGAAGAAGCAGGGGTTTGCAAGTACGGCGACAAATGCCAGTTCGCCCACGGAGTACGCGAGCTACGCAATCTTCAACGCCATCCAAAATACAAAACAGAACTGTGCCGCACGTTCCATTCTGTGGGATTCTGTCCATACGGACCACGCTGCCACTTTGTCCACAACGCAGAAGAAGCTAGACGCCGTGAGCCGCCCTCGCCTGGCGGATCTCTAGCTTCATTGTCGTCTGGAGGCTCCCTAGCCTCTTACATGAGCGACGGGTCCCGCTCGCCGAGGTCCCCCCACTCGCCGCTGACGCCGCAGTCGCCTCTCGCGCCGCACTCGCCGCCCGCAGTGTCTCCGCCCGCACACGCCACCTCTTTCGCCTTCCGTCGCACGAACTCGCCGGACCCGGAGGAAGAGCGATTGCCCGTCTTCAATCGCCTCTCTTCCGCGTTCAGCGACATCGTCATCGCCTAAGTACGAGCCTAGTCCTAAGTTAAACCGAGCGTAGCGTATAAGGATCGTCCGTCACCTTAGTGCCTACTCGACGTCTTCCAGACCGCGCCCGAGCGCGTCCCGCTCGCCGCGTCTCGCGCCCTCACCCGCTCAACGAATGATCTCCAGTTTACCGATGCTCTTATTACTTCGCCATGTAATATTTTAAAGTTAAAGTGTTCTGGCGTCTCGAAAGTTTGCGGTGTGAATATAGTAGATATACATCTTTTAGTTATCGGCACGCACTTGTAAATGGCACCTTATGTTGTTAGATATTTATTGTGTAGCTCGCGGAAGTCTTCCCGATGCGATCCTCCGCCGAGCGGTCGTCTTGTAAAGTTAGCTTATAGTAACGTTTTATTTATTTCATATTGCCTATCCGCGCTCGGTACCGTACCGCGAGAAGGCGCTCGTGATCTATTTTTAAGGATATAAGATAATAATTTATTATTTATTTCGAGTCTCTTTAACTTTAATTATTATTATTTTGTAGCTTTTGCGATGCCACACCGCATACGGACGAGGTACGCGTCGACGGGACGTGGCTCGTTTTATTTACTTCAGCTCGACTGATTCCTTGGTTCAACATATTCCAACAACTATTGCAAAAACGGAATCGGTCGAGATGGACTGGCACTCAAGAGAGAGATGGGCTTAAATACCTCGAATATTTATATTTTAATTTATGACCTAGTATTTCTTTTCTATGTTCTTTGCGCTACAATCTCGGACTATGCAACGTAGTAGTATCAATCATCTCCAGCTCATTTGGGAGGTATCGGATCGATGCTGTGGCGCGCCGCCTCTGTCTGCGAGGATTTTTCTTTTTTGCATTGAGCGAGCGAGCCTAAACCTGTTTGAGACTTTTGGTGATTGTTTTTTCCGACCTCGGGTCCCTCTCGCCCGATGCGATCGCGCTCGAATGCATGCAAAAAATGACAGGTACCCAAGTTTAAGCCCGTCGATCTCCTGAGACCATATACCGATATACCTGTATTGTATAAAGATATAGTGACATAAAAATATCAATAGTATATGATGAATGGTAGGGGATGCGATCGGGTTGGTACTCTCCCCTTGCGCTTCCAAACCGCCCCGTCGCATCCCTTCCAGATAAGTGCCTTTACTTATAACATTATAAATCGATTATAATATTTAATTTTTAGTTGATCGAGATAGATTGATTTTTTTATTTATTATCTCCTTTTGAATAAAATATTCAAATTGGCACAGTTATTACTTTTGTACTTTGACAGAGCTAAGTGATTAGTTTTGACGTAGAATAGTTTTTCTTTTTGAATTTAAAGTGTGATATTTTATAATATTTATATAACAAAGTTTAATGTTTTAATTAAGGGACCAATTAAATGATTAGGAGAAATTCTGATAAAGCAGCCAGATACGCTTTCGAATACCAAGAAACTAGCCTCGCGCCTCGAGTGGATATTTTTGTCAAATATACAATTACATATACGATTTTGTACTATTAATAAAATATACATACAAACCGTGATGGTTTTTCTTTATTAATTTATCAACAGATAGAACCGAGATGGTAGTTGTTTTGTTTTCTTATGTATTTAGTTTCTGTTCGAACTGTATTGTCTACATCTCAGCGAGTGTTGCATGATGACCACAGTGACTACAGACAATGATAATAATTTTGTACCTAATGCTAAGTTTTAGTTTTAAGCGTTTTTCATAAAGTTCACGAATATTATTTATTATCAGTTCATTTCTAATTATAAACCATTAAAACTGATTATTTAATTTCTTTTGTATTTAAACAGACATTTAAGTACTACGTGTAACTTAATGTTAGTAATATATCATGAGTCATTTAATATAACAAGCATTAGTTTAGATACTCTAGTACCTATGTGACTTCTAATTAAGTATTTAATTATTTTTTTAATTTAATCCAATTGTAAGTTAATCTCCAAAAATTGACTACACTATTTCTTTACGGACAAAATTAAGGCTAAAGCTTGTTTATGACATTTTCTTGTAAGTTTTCCTTATTTCCATCTGCATTTTTATTGAATTATAGTCAAAATATGTTAATTTTTCTTTTTATTTTTGTTATTTTTTCCCGAACCCTTTATACTAAATCCTTTATTTATCCTTTCCTGTTCTTTAAAAAAGAAATTACAATTATTACTTTCATTAATGATAATACTACTTTACATTTGCTATTTATTTTGGAATTAATAATAATCCAAGTTAAACTAGTTTTTTAAAGCAAGTCTAATAATATACCTACTCATACGAAAACATTGATCAAAATAAGTCTAGCAAATAAAGTTCTTTGAAAACCATTAGACCTAATACTGTCCATTATAATTTATTCAACCGTTAAAATCTAACTATTTTGATTAAGATAAATCGACGACGAGACAACTATAATAACAATTGCATTGCAATTGTTATTGGTAGTAACATGAACCCGGAACCTCTTTATTTCACAAGTATCGGATTTTTTGTTCACCACTTACGTAATCGAGGCACGAGGTTCGAGAAAGGAGCAAGCGTTGGCGGTAGAATGCGACACAATAAAGTAAGTATTGTGGAGGTACATAAATCAAAATTGTCGAATATTATGTAGAAAATGACTAAGTATAATTTATATTTCTATAAAATTATTAATTTATATTTCTATTAAATATATTTTCATATTATATTCTTCAATAAATCGAGGCAATCAAGATCTTATAAACTGGAATACACTTTAAGAACAATTTTGCATATTGTTGCCTATAAATACAGAAACGTACAATGGAAACCAGTTGTATTAGAAAACTATAATTATGTACCTATAAACATACTATTTAGGGAATGACTTTCCATATATATATATTTTTGGCGGTTACATTTTTAACCGATTTCCTAAAAGGAGGTTTTCAATTCGTCGGAATCTTTTTTTTTAATGTATGTTCACCGATTACTCAAAGACACCTGAACCGATTTTATTATTTTTTGTTTCGAAGAGTATACTTCCCAGGTGGTCCCATTTAAATTTTATTGAAATCGGTCGAGCGGATTGTAAAAAAAACTAACAGTAAATTATTTTTTTAATAAATTGCTCGAATATGTTATTAAAGAACTTTCTTCTAACAAATTACCTGCTAATTACGTCTACACTAAAAATGGAAAAATAAAAACTTAAAAAAAACCGACTTCCAGGCATTAAAATGTAAAAACTACCTAAATAGAGGTTTTCGTTTAGAATAGATACCTAATCAGATATTTTCGAAGTCGGTGCCAGACGACAATAGATATGAATATCTAATAGGTAAATATGATTAGGTATGAACTCTAATATAAATAGTTAAAATATTATAGGTACCTACATCAATTTGTGATGTATTTTACGTACTTATCGAAATAGATTTGCTTTGCATCGGCTGGCACCGACTTCGAAAATATCTGATTTGGTATCTATTCTAAATGAAATCCCCCGTTTAGTTATTTTATACATTTTACTACCTGTAAAAATTTTACCACGCTAATAGATACAGTACAGTGATATGATCTGGGCGATAAAGAATGCTTCAAAACAAAGAACTTTATCTATAGGTGTATGAAATTTTATTTAATATTTACAACAAATTACCAACTGCTAGATGGATTTAAATACGACTATAATATTTTAAAGATATGTTAGGTACATAACACAACTTGAATTAAAAAAAAACTAATTATTTAGCTTGCCGACCTACTGAAGAAAGGGGTTCTGTGGGATTGTGTGCTGACAACCTTCGATCAACAATACTGCTGTTGATCGAAGGCTGACACAACCCCACATTGCTGGTAGGCTATGGAATGTTGTAAATAATAAACTAAACGATTATAAATTGAAGAAATATAAAATTCTCTTACTACATTATCGACTAAAATAAAGCAATCAAAAAAAAGTTAATAGTTATATATTTATAATAATATATTAATATAAGTAGGTACTTACATATCTGCTTATATTTTCGCCAAAGGATAGCAATTAGGATCTGACTATAAATATGTACATTTTATGATCTATTTCTGTATAATCAATTTTGATATTTATATAGAAAATAAAATGGAATAACTAATACGTTTAAAAGGCAAAGAACATGTAAGCGATCCTTAGGTTTGGAATGCTGCTACGACGTACCGTACTTATCTACTGATTCATACTAATTACAACAGCGAGTAGCTGACCAAATAGGGTGCATAACATACCAGAAACAGGAATGCAAATCATTTGGAACTTAGATCAGATGTTACTATTGTGGAGAAGAATAGTCTGCCTGCGAGTTTGCCGCATGTTTAATACATAACCCGTGCTGTATATTTTTGAATCTTCTCTGTTGATTAACATGAAAATTAACCATGTTAGAATTCTGACCTTTATCTATAAAATAAAAAGAAGAAAGACAGAAAATCTTAAGAATTGGGTTCCAACTTCCATCACAATTTTTATCCTTAGCACTCCTCACAGCACAAATTTTTCATTATTTTGTGTAAAATTTTAGTCTTTGAAGTTTGACCCACTTTCAATTTTATTCCGCTTATTTACTATAAAATATAAATGATATTAAAACACTGGTGATATTAAAGTTAAAGATATTTTTTGGAAAGATAATAGTTTAGAATTATTGTATTAAAAGAATCATGTATTTTAAACAGACCTATATTGAAAATAACAAAAAAATATTGATTTTTAAAATTCTAGCTTAATTTCATAATGTATATTAAAAGTTAAAAAACAAAGTATCTGTAATAATTTGAAAAGAATACTTCTCATTCGCTCAATATTGATAAAAAATCTTGAATCGGAAGTGCAATCATATCAGATCTTTTATTTATTTATTAAATTATCTATTTATATTTAAACATAAAATAGGTTTTTTTATAATTGGATATTATTTTTAATTAGTATATATATTATATACACAAAACAGTAAGTAAATAAAAAAAGATAATAGTTTTATTTGAATTTA